TCCCCATGTTTCCTTGTTGGTAGATCTATGTCTGTCAGAGTTCCATTGACTCTCTCAGTCTGTACATATTCTCGTTTCGCTTCACAGTTCGGCATTATTGTATCGGCCGCCGGTTATCATGGAATGTGGTACGCCACGTGAACACACAAACGCCAGGAAGGCTGTATGGCTAGCCAAACCATCCTGCGTGTGTCACAGAGTCTGTAGAATCATGTACATGTACTGTAGTCTAGACTTCTGGGCATGCGATAAGCAAGTAAGTAATAGTGGTATTTGCATGACTTCGGGTGGCTGTCGTACGCATAGTCCTACTCTACTCTACTGCTGGCAAACTACACGTAGTTGGCTTGCTTATGATAATAAATTTTAGTTATAAGATCTTATCGCCCTCTTTGTTTTGCTGCTTCGCCTAATATGCTTCGCCTAATAGGAAAGACAAGAAATATTCGCGGCAAGGTCAAGGCCAAGGTCAAGTGCCAAAATAACATGACATGTGCCTTGTTACTTTACAACTAATTACTTACTTACATGTTACTTTACATGATGACGACGGCTGCGCTTATGACCTGACGACGTTCGCGTTGTGGTGTCAAGAATAACCAAGTGACAACCAGTTACATGTACATGTACATGTACCTGCTTGTCATTGTCCCTCCGATCGTGCCCCGGGATAGGCTCTGGCACGTCGTCGATAACAAACACTTTCGTAGATCTACCGGTAGATAGGTACTAGACTAGACATGGTTAGCATTTTACCGTTCACTCTATTTTCGACGGTCGGCGTGTCTACTGTTTTTTGTGTGTTTGCGAGACACGGTTAGCAGGTCAGCTTCTGAGTCCTCACTCCCGACGCAGCGATAGACTTGTGACGTAACCATGGTAACCCTAGTTGGAATCTTACCGTTTCGTTCTCCCGCTAAACAGAGCTTTACACAAATTAATTTACAGAGCTTTCTATCGTCGAAACCAGGGAGTAGTATTTTACTACTCCCTGGTCGAAACGGTACCAAACCGACCGTATTTTGGGTGTACCGTTGGATCTAGCGCGTGAACGGTAAAAATGCCATGTCTACACACACAAAAAAACGGTGCATGCCGACCGTCAAAAATAGCGTGAACGGTAAAAATTATTAATGCTAACCATCCGGATCAGTGGTGGGGTAGCAGTCTTCTCTTCGTCCGCCCTTTGTGCTATGCGCCGCCGGGATCTAGAGTGCAACAATTCAGAGATGATAACTGTCGAAACAGGAGCTACAATCATTTCCTGTATGTACCGTCCTCCAAGACACGATAGTCTTGCATTCTGCAACTCATTCAGTCCTCTTCACCCCCTCGTTGACAACCGTCCAGTAATTGTCGTGGGAGACTTTAACTCCAAGAACAATGAGTGGAACAACGCAGACCCTACGAACACTGCAGGTAGACACATGCAGTCCGCCTTTGACGACTATGGCTTCACTATGGTCTCCAAGAACCATGGAACGAGGCCAACTAAAGATTCTAATCCGTCCCTAGACCTGATTTTAACTAATATGCCCCATCTTGTCACTTCATGTTACACATCCATGCCCATTGCAGACCACTGTCCTCTATTTTGCGCATATTCTCCACCAGAGAAACGCCACTCTAGAAGTACTGTCAACGCAGCCGCAGTCTCCAGAAAGGTTGACATGCACCGCCTCAGGCAGAAACTGAGCACACTACCATTGACCGAATGCATGCAGGGCACCAACGTGCACATCAGTTTCAGATGCATGGCCTACTCTGCACTGCTGGACCAGGCAATTCAGGCAGCAACGACCATCACACGCCGGAAAAACACCCAGTCGAACCAACCATGGTTCACAAAAAAACTTAAGACGCAACGTCAGCGAACTAACCGCCTCTATGTGCTCCACCGAAAGGAGCCACTCAACGATTCCTTACGAGCTGCATACAAACTCTCGCGCAACCTGTACCACCGGTCATTAAGAGCCGCCAAGGACACATACTTGTCAACGCTCGGATACACAATGCTTGGCAAGGAAAGAAAGGGTGGCTATGCGTGGTGGAAACGTGCCAAAGCAATATGCAATATTGACCAAACAAATAAAAAGGCAATTCCAGACCTGCAGAACGGCAATGAAATTCACAAAACAGATCAAGCGAAGGCCGAAACGCTGTGTACCTTCTTTGCCCGCCAATGCACCACTCAGTCAACGCCGCCGAATACTGTAGCAACTAGTATAACAATCAATGAAGCCGACGTCGATGGAAACAAATTTGGATTCGGAAACATACGCCCTGTTGAAGTCTTCGATGCAGCAAAGAGGCTGCAACAACATAAATCATCATCAGACATCAACCTGACAAACCGTATACTAAAGCAATTCGCAGATATCCTTTCCCAATCACTATCAGTATTGTTCAACTACAGCCTTGATGATGGTGTGTTCCCGTCCTCCTGGAAATCATCCACTGTAATACCGGTGTACAAGAATAGAGGTTGCGCCAAAGAGCCTACCAATTACAGACCTATATCCCTTCTCCCATGCATAGCGAAACTAATGGAAAAGATTCTCTCGGAACGTCTACTTCGATACTTGATGACCCAGGGTGTAATTTGTAAAGGTCAATTCGCATATGTACGCAACAAGTCTGTAACGGACCAACTTATCTTGCTAACCCAATCAATGGCTGTAAATATTGATAATGGCACTAATTTTGACCTGATATCTCTAGATTTCAGGAAAGCTTTCGACCGGGTCGACCACTCTATACTCCTAAAGAAATTCGGTAAGATTGCTACAGCTTCGTCAGTAAAATGGCTGAAGAGCTTCTTAGGGGATCGACAAATTGAAGTGAAGGTACATAGCACTAAATCGAAGAAGCGGAGCATCAACTGCGGAGTGCCTCAAGGGTCCCACCTTTCACCACTCCTATTCCTACTCTATATAAATGACCTGCCCAACGCTATGCAACATTGCACGCAATATTTATTTGCAGATGATGTCACCCTCCTACTGGCTTACAAACCTGAAGACACCCTCGCCAGTAGAGCGAACATGCAGTCTGATCTCGATGCATGTCAAACATGGGGCAGGAACAATGGAGGTGAATTCTCAGCAAGCAAGACATCCGTGCTGTGCCATAGAGCTATCAATGATACACCTACTGCAGGAATCCAATACCAAATGTACAATGAGCCGTTAACGGTGGTTTCTGAACTGCAACATCTTGGCATCACCTTGACCGACAACCTGGATTTCCGCAAACATGTCGCCTCAATAACTTCGAAGTTCAGATATCGAGTGCACCTACTGTCAATTATGTCCCAGCAACTTACGCCTTCGGCAATGATCATACTGTACAAAGGGTTCGTAAGACCTGTGATCGAATATAGCTGTACGGTGTGGTCGTTTGGATCTAATAAGAAACCCATGACCACTCTTGATCAATTACAGGCAAGGTTTGCTAGAGCTCTACTGAAAAAGAAAAAAATTGCATTTGATTACACTTCTTCCAAATCTGTCTTAAATTCTAAATGCTCCCTAGAGTCACTAGCCTATCGTCGTCAAATCATCAGTCTCACTACTTTTCACAGATATGTTTTCCATCATCGTGATTACCTTGCTGATTTCCATTTCAAGATTACGAATAGTGAGCGACGACCAAATAAAATCATTCTTCCCAAATTTAAATCATTGTCTAAGTCTCTCTTCATGTTCCGAACTGCTATTCTATGGAACTGTTTACCCCCCAGTCTAACATCGGAAGCCTCGCTCTATAAGTTCAAAGCTGCCCTCAGGAAATTTACAGCTGACTATGCTTATGCAATCAACGGAATTCCGCCACCTTGCAGTTGATTTTCCCCATTTCTCTCCTCATAAATCCCTACTTCTCTTTGTACATACATCTACATCTACTGTTCTTTCAATCAAATGAACCCCTCGATAGGCACATTGCCTTTGGGTCATTTCATAATAATAATCACGGGTACGTAACGTTGTAAGCACGTAGCAGGTAGCAAAGCGCATGTGCTTGCTTGGGGACAGTCACACGGTCTCTTTTGACGACGACGTAGTGCTATCAGGGGCGTCGGAAGGTATTTTAGTGTGGTACGGTTAGCCATCTGAAGTACAATTTGCTCGCGAGGGACGGGTGCCGAGCCGAAATTTTGGAAAATTAGAGCCCAGATCAGTGTGTTTTATTGATTCACGGGGTAGGTCTACCTGGGGCAAAAAGTGGTACGGTCAATACCGTAGTGATGTCCGACGCCCCTGGCTTAGGGCACTGGCTATGATGTAAAGGATTACGTGAGAATTCAGGTGACCTGCCATCACTGCATCAGCCAAACATACCAAGGCAAAGCAGGTAAACTACCGGCCCAATTCAGCCGTCATGCGCCTAGTATTAGTAAAAACAGTTGTAAAGTAACATCAATCAGGAGCTTTCCAGAGCACAGTCACAGACAATGGAACGGCGGCTTGACTCCTTGACCTCGGCTTTAAAGTATTAGTTATGGTTGTGCTTGGCTGTTCTGTCCGCAGCTCCTGACGGACATGACGGTCAGGACTTGTTGATAGCCAGCACTACTGTCAGAACAGTCGTTGCGATGGCGGCGCAAGTGTCACAACATTCAGGACAAGACAACCAGCCGCTCGCAACTACGATAGCAGCCTCATTCCACTCTCCCTCTCCCTATGGCAGTGATGGTGCCATCGAGTGTACCCAGTACAGTACAGACTCAGTAGATCCGAACCATCTACACCTGCTGCGCTGGTGAGTTGTCAAAAACCAGTCAAACAAGCTGAATCCCCATCTGTGTCTCGCACGGATGGCGTGACTAACAATCAACGAGTGGAAAATAGCATTTTCTTTTTAGTTTTTAGTTTTTACTACTGTCACGTACTACTAGGTGAAATCGTGCATCTCGTGATGAGACCGTGTACGTGACGTGACGGTCAAGGCAGCATCGAACCTAGTCGAAAATCATAATGACTGTAGGGAGTTTTAGCGCTGCCCTCTGCGTCCATCCGTCGCTCGCAGGCGGTCTTCAGCTGGGCTCCGACCCTGGTCAGGCCCCGAGCCGCAGCACAGGGATTTGGCGATCGAGAGTTTGTACGATCATAGAACGACGTCCGGAACACTCGAAAGGACGATTGTATAAATATACTGTAGGCTTCTGCGTCCCGGGCAGAAGTCAGTTCACTCATCTTCCTGGAGTTGAAGGGATTTACCTCAGCGGTCGACATACCGAAGTGGACTTTGAAAGTGGCGAAGAAGACAGTGAGTTGCATGTAGGCTGTGTCTCTTGTACTGACTGTTGACAGTGTGCTGTAATAACGTTAGCCTGCTCTTTACGATAAGGACGATACATCAATCTTGAGTGTTGGTAGACGCATGATGTCGACCATAGTCTAGCATGCCATGTAGCTCGCTAGATATCTACATTTTATGCTGACCTTTCGTACAAACTTCCAGTCAACTTCCCATCACGCAGGTGGTTCATATTATTGGGCATATAAACCCCATATAAACCCCATATAAACCCCATATAAACCCCATATAAACCCCATATAAACCCCATATAAACCCCATATAAACCCCATATAAACCCCATATAAACCCCATACCGTTACCCCGGAGTCAGGGCTGAAAACATAACAAGCTGTCTGTCAGTTTTGTATGAAGCATTGAAGGTCAGCATAAGTATTACATCCCACTATTGCGCATGTCATGTCCATCCTCCCCCAAAGATCATTGCCAGAGCATGGCGTAGGACTACTATTAGCCAGCTATCTCGTAGACTCTAGATTTAGACGTAGATAAATACAGAGCTGCTATCCCATGGTCAGTCAGAGTGGCATACCGGCCAACCTCCAAGCCTCAATGCCTTGACGCTCGATGATGTGAATCCTGAAGGTTCCCTGAAGTTCTGGTGAGGTTCCCGAAAGCACTACAAAAAAGCGAAATGTTTTGGCTTGGCCAGCCACACTCTTAGCAGTGCAAAACGAAGGATTGTTTTGGATGAATTCAGGCCAGTAAAGGGACAGATCTTGTTTTCTCAAGACACCAACATAGAACAGCACAGCACAGGACTAACAAGACTGCGTAGAAAGCGGTGAAGAGAGAGAGGGCTTCATGTCCACCGGAACATTGTTGTTTCTCGTCTACGCAGTGACTATAGTGCACTGAAAGCCAGGATTATTGTAGCACGTTTTTATCTGGACTCTTGTCAAGATGATCCTTTTTTGGGAGTTTGCATAAAATCTCTGGATCCTCAGTAGTTCATCGCTTTTCCGAGGGAAGACCCAAAAAGACTGATATGAGTTGACAAACACAGAGAGAGAGAGACAGAGAGAGAGACAGAGAGAGAGACAGAGAGAGAGAGAGAGAGAGAGAGAGAGAGAGAGAGAGAGAGAGAGAGAGAGAGAGAGACAGAGACAGAGACAGAGACAGAGACAGAGAGAGACAGAGAGAGAGAGAGACAGAGAGAGAGAGAGAGAGAGAGAGAGAGAGAGAGAGAGAGAGAGAGAGAGAGAGAGAGAGAGAGAGAGAGAGAGAGAGAGAGAGACAGAGACAGAGACAGAGAGACAGAGAGACAGAGAGACAGAGAGACAGAGAGACAGAGACAGAGACAGAGAGAGAGAGAGAGAGAGAGAGAGAGAGAGAGAGAGAGAGAGAGAGAGAGAGAGAGAGAGAGAGAGAGAGAGAGAGACAGATAGAGCTAGATGTCCTACTCATAGTGATAATGTTGAGCCATTTCAGTGACAGCCAGCAAGCGATTGTGGCCAACCCCAAACTACAACCTCCAAAATACAAGTCAAGGCAGAGACATTCAGTTACAGAATAGATCCCATTGATGCTTATCCATACTTTCAATTGTCGATACTTTAAATTACCCACACTTTCTGCTATCATTGCCTTCAGTTATCCATGCATGCAGCCATTCCGAGGCTTTCAGTTACTTGCAATTTGCTCATGAAGACCAGGTGTATGAAAGCAGTATAAGCCAGAACAGTGAACAGGAGTGTTCATCCAATAGAAGTACTGCTGGCCATTTGTGTACCAGGTGCAGTTCAGGTTCTCACGGTGTGCGAATCAAACTGATGTGCTTTCGAAATGTGCAGTACGCGCTTGTTTTGGGCATTGAGCACTTTGTGTGCAGAGAGGACTTAACTGTGTAGCGGAGCGTGTATTCCTATTATCCAGGCATCCAGTTTTTAGTGAACCCTGCTTAAAAACTCGTACAAGTGAAGCCTACTGTACTTTGCCAGTATTTCCTATTTGCATGCGCCTCCCTGGAAATGCTGGTAATGTTGCTACAGGGCACGCGATTACATTTTCATCTGGGGTATACTATTTTCAATTTGCGGGGGGCACTTGGTACCATGAACACTGGTTGTGTCACTCCATAAGGCCACACCGTTTTTTATCTATGTTTCGCGTCCCCCGCGCGCACGTATTTCACAGCCGGAGTTTTTTTTTGAAATAAAAAAAACGGAACAATTTTTTTTGTTGAAAATGCAATACAAATTTAATGCAAACCCAGAAAACCGGAAAATGTATAACCCAAAAGGAAAAAAACGGAACACGATTGTTACACGTAGCTATTATGTTGGCATTAGCTATTGGCGGACTATGCTCGGCCAATCGTCAAATTATGCTTTTGATTATGCCACAATTATGCCAACAAATATGCTGAATTATGCTGAATTAGGCTCGGTTCCACTATGTATTCACGCTGTACATAGAGGATTGAGAAATAGCCATTGGCGGACTATGCTCAGCCAATCGTCAAAATAATTATGCTTTTGATTATGCCACATTTATGTCAACAAATATGCTGAATTATGCTGAATTATGCTCGGTTCCACTATGTATTCACGCTGTACATAGAGGATTGAGAAACCACGCATACACACACGGCCATGCCCTAAGCATAATTTTTGTCTAAACCGAAAGATTATGCCGACCTTACACGTTGGAATCCGTATATTATGCCGGAGCATAATTTTTTGACGAAATCCCAAGATTATGCCAAAATATTATGCCGGCATAATCCGCCAAGGGCTATGACAAGGAGTCGTAACTGGGGTATTAAAAAACAAAAACATCTGCAGGCTTTCTGACAAAGCTGTATTATGCCCCTAAGCATAATTTTTGTCTAAACCGAAAGATTATGCCGACCTTACACGTTGGAATCCGTATAATTATGCCGGAGCATAATTTTTTTGACGAAATCCCAAGATTATGCCAAATATTATGCCGGCATAATCCGCCAAGGGCTAGTTGGCATCAATTAAATATTAATTTTATTCTATTTATCGCATGATTGTACTCAGCTCTCACACATGTACATATACATGTACATGTGTGTGTAATACAGTCGACCTACCCTTATAACGATATTTGCGTCAGACCAAGAAATATTGTTATAAGGGTAATATTGTTATAGGGGTAACTGGTTCATTAAATTTTCATACACATACGTCATAATGCATGGATTTTGTTTAATTTTTTACACTCTTCGTAGCATAAAAAACTGACATACATGCACATCATGTACACAGCAAGGTGCCTGCTGGTGCCCCCATTGCATTTCGTCATGTCCCAGCGACTTATCAAGTGAAGCTTGCCCTGCCTGGATAGTGGGCTGTACATCTTCCCTGCTAGATATTGTTATAAAATGGAAAATGTTGATTGGTCAGCCCATTTGATATCGTTATAGGGGTAAAGCATACCCCGCAAGACAGTCGGAAGAAAATGGATGTGCAGCAGTTGACAGCTAGCGCAGAGAGAAGACAGCGCTATCGGGACCAAGTTGAAAAGCATGTTACAACACTACCTCCCCTGGAGAAGGAACACCTTGATGAAGGCTGGACTTCAGTTGCAGGAATGATGCATGCCTCGGGATTGGCAGCTGCGGGAGAACTGAAGCTGACACGGCGTTATAGACACGGTTGGGATACGGTGATGGAAGAACTCTCGGAAAAGATGAAAAATCTGCGACTCCGCACGATGAACGCTCAGGACACCCACCAGATACAGAAACTCCGTGAGGAGAGAAACCAAGTCTCGCACCAACTGCGACGTAGAGCCAAGGAATGTGCATCTGCAGACCTAGACAGAAAAGTATCAGAGATCGAACAGCTGAAGGATGATGCCCGAATGTTCAGAGCTGTACAACAGCTACACAAGAACAGAACCAAGCAGGCCGTTGTGGCTGACCAAGATGGCAGGCTAATAGTCCAACCTGAGGAAATGGCTGAAAAGATAGCAGAGCACTTCCACGCTGCTCTCTCAAACAGCGACCAAGAGAGACTGAGCATGGCTGACTATAACATGGGCGAAATGGAAAAGCCAATCGCGACGATCGAAGTGAGGAGAGCAGCAGCACGGCTAAAGAACAACAAGTCACCTGGGCCAGACAAACTCCCAGCAGAACTATTCAAATATGCGCCTGACAGCCTTTTCACATATCTTGCCGAACTGTACACCATGTGCGTTGAGACAGGACAACACCTGACACTTGGCAGTGGCGAGTTAATCCCGCTGCAGAAACCAGGAAAACCAAGAGGCCCGGGAAGTAGTCTGAGACCCATTGTTCTGCTCAATGCCCTGCGCAAGGTACTTTCTTTAGTGGTTCTAGCACGAATAACCCCCCGAGTTCAAGCTTATGTATCGCAAATGCAGAGTGGGTTCAGACCGAATAGAAGCACTACAGATGTAGTATGGGCTCATCGATGGATCGCTGCACGCTGCCAGCACCTGCAGTTCAGTATAAGTATTCTGGGTATCGATATGTCTCGCGCCTTTGACACTATTAGTCGCCGGAAACTCGTCAATGTGTTGCGGTCATTCCTGGAGCCAGATGAGGTGCGCCTGGTCCAGCTCCTGGTTTCAGATACAACACTATCAGCACGCATCAAAAATACCCAAAGCCGACCATTTGCAACAACATCTGGCACCCCACAAGGTGACTCGCTGTCACCCGTGTTATTCATCATCTACCTCGAGACTGCACTGCGCCATGTTTTCTCCTGTATTCCACCTCGACCTAATCTAGACATCACCCTCAACCTGCCGCCGTCCCTAGGTTATGCCGATGATGTGGACTTCGTCAGCACCAGTTCTGAGTACCTGGACTCGATCCTTCCTATTGTTGGCGACTGCCTCGCGGACTGGGACCTGAAAGTTAACCAAGCCAAAACAGAATGCACTACTATCCAGAGGAAGAAGGACCGAGTGGAGGAAGAGTGGAGGCGCACACGCAAGCTTGGATCCCTTATTGGAGACAAAGAGGATGTCGCACGCCGAATCCAGATTGCTTCGGGCACATTCAACAAGATGTGGCCATTGTGGTCACGCGGACATCTGGTCTCCGAAAAGCTACGGGTGAGGCTCTACGAAGCCTTCATCAAGCCTCTGCTGATGTACAACGCAGGCACATGGGGCCTCTCAGACTCTCAGCTGTGTACTCTTGACTCGACATATCGGAGACACCTGAGAGTTGTTGTGGGTATCCGCTACCCACAGATAATCAGCAACGATGACCTCCACCGCAGAACAGAGACGCAGCCCCTAACTGTCCTGGTTAAAGCTGCTCGGATGCGACTACTCGGTCACATCTGCAGACTGGACAAGGAGTCCCCAGCACAAATGGCTATGACATCATACTTCCGGCAAACAAAGGACGAGAAAAAATTCCGTGGCCGGCCGCCTTCCACACTCCCAACAATACTGAGAACGGACCTCGCAACAAAGGGAATGAAGCTGCAGACGGATAAAGATCTCTCACACATCAGGGACCTGGCAGAGGACAGAGCAGTATGGCGGCAGCTTTTCCGCACCTGAGCCTGCAGAGGAATGCCCGGATTTGCCCAAACGGAACATGACATGATGTACGGTGAATTCAATGGACAATCTGATATATTTCTTCAATATCCTTTGCCTCCTGTTTCTTTTTTCCTGCCTTCGACCCCGCTGCTCTGTGACCCTTCCCTCGCTTTCTCTTGTCCTTACTGTCTTTTGACTTGTTGAGCGGCCTGAGCGAATGCTAGGGGTGGATGTGTATTATGTCGATTTGTTGATTTTTGTAGTAACACACCCTGATGCAAACGCGGAGAGGCAAATAATAATAATAATAATAATAGGGGTAATATCGTTATAGCAATATTGTTATAAGGGTAGGGCATTGTATACGAAAGTCAATGGAGTGATTTGGTTTGGCAGAAAAATATCGTTATAAGGGTAATATCGTTATAGAGGTTATCGTTATATGGGTAGGTCGACTGTACTAGTAAGCTGGGCCGCAAGTCACACAATCATCATGCCGCCTGTGTTTGGACCACAAGCATGGCAGATGGGATACACTCATGTATTCATGTACATGTCAATGTACATGTTTTCGTGTACATTGACATGTACATGAACAGTGCCGCGTCGCTTCATTGTACACAAATGCAATGCGCGTACACTGTTTTTTTATGGCTTTTTATTTTTTTCGCCCTCCCTCATTGATTTCATCGAATAAGGTGACGCGAAACATAGAAAAAAACGGCGTGGCCTAACAAGCATATACCTAGTTTGATGTCACATTAGAGAGGTTCTGCAAAACGAAAATGTGTACGAACTTTCGCTCTACGTCACGAAGTGAGAAACTTCGCACGAACTTTCGCAACTTTGGACGCGAAACTTGCAGGGAACGCGAAATGAACTTTCGTAGGAAGTTTCGTGAGATTGGGTCATGTCGTACGTGCACTTGGCGCGTGCAAACTACGAAAATGTGCAGAACACAAAGTTCGTGCGAAAATTCGTACACATTTTCGCAAGGCCTGTCGCGAAACTTCGTTCGAATTTTCGTTGTGCAGAACCTCTCTAATGATGTCACAATTATGTCACAATGATGATATTTGCTCATAACTGGGCCACTATACAGTGTTATCACAATGATGTCACAATGATGTCATTCAATCATATCCACTACTGTAAAAGCCATTATATAATTTATAACGAAGTGCTAACTCTAATGAGTTAACGAGGAAAAATCTGTCGTTAAAATAGAAATCGTTATACAGAAATCGATACATATACTTTCCTATTGAGCGTTGAGAATGAGTGAGAATCGTTACCTTTGGTACACGTAAACTAGTCAATTTTGGGAAATCGTTATACTAGTATGCGCCTCGTTAGAATAATGGCTTTTACAGTATACAGCGCTGTAGTGTAGGAGTATGTGCCGATGTATTTGCCAGTGAGTGAGTTAGTCCAGCCGATCATCCTGCAATTCTGAGAATGATGATTGTGTGTTGTGTTGTGTTGTGTTGTATCCCCGTTCTGTACAGGTACAGGTACTCTACACACTGACACTGTCTTGCACTGATCTGCAGCCTGGCAGGATGGTGTTGGACAACCGTCATGTTCTCATTGGTATGCTACTTGCACTACTGGTGACAGAAGGGAGCAGTCAACTTGGTAGCGGCGGTGAAAAAGATCTTCCTTTTGTGACGGAGGGATGTAAGTTTTCAGTTTAAATTGATGAATCTTCAGTGATACAGGAAAAGGTTTTGGTTGGTGTGTATGTGGGGGGGGGGGGGGGGGGGGGGGGGAGGGGGGAAGGGAGGGATGACCTCCAAGTAGTAACCTACTTTGAAGCACTAATACACAATATAATACATGTACTTGTGATCCTCCTAGCAAAGGCTACATTTTGTTTATGACCAGAGGGTCTGTACAACGTACTAGCTACAGGTATTTTGTGCAGCACTGCCAACTGTTCTTTTTTCTTCTTAATTTTTTATTGAAAACCACGAACCTTCAGACATGTGAATATTCACATAATATTATACAGTGTACATGCGTATATATATATAAGGCAGCACAGAAACGGCAGTGGTGGTGAGGCCTGGGCAGCTCGTCCGACTGTGTCTGGATGAGGCTCATACGTTAACCTTGAAGGTTTGTAGGTACCCTGTATGAGGTTTGTGCACCTACGGAGGTCTGCAGTCAGGCCTAGGTATTCCAGGGTGTGAGAGCGAGCAGCGAGAGATCAGGATCGTGGGGTATAGTCAGGTGCTGTGGCAGGCAATGTCTACTGTAACTGGAAGCCATGGTTCACCTAAAGCTGTTGTAGAGTGTGCAAGCTTCACAAGAACACCGGGGGCCTCGGTTGTTGGCAGCATGGATCAGATCTGGGGAGGCCCTGCGATGTAGTGCAGCTTGAACAGATATTGGAGAGCTGCCAAGAGCCGTGTTGCAGGAGCTGGAGGCTTTGGAGGATGGTGCTAGGCCACAGGAGGTGCACGGCACACTGCTGAACCTTGTCCAGCTAGGCCATGTTGGTCTTGGCTGCGCTCGACCAGGCCAGTATGCTCAAGTAGTGGTCGCACCAAGCCCTTGTAGACTCGCACCTGATCAGTGGTGGCTCAGAATGGCTGCTGCCTTTTGTCGGAATTGACCCAGGCTTTGGGAGGCGTGTAGTGCAACGCTACGGGTGTGTCACTGTAGGAGAGATTGAGGTCGAGTCTGACTGTCAGCAGCTTCAGAGCGTCTGTTTTCGGCAGTGCTTCGTTTCCAAAGGTGACAGACGGAACGCAGGGAGGAACTTGCTTGCGATGCAGAGTCGTGTGGTGCATCTTGGCTGGCTCAAAGAAGTTGCGCCACTTGCGACCCCACTCGTCTAGGCTGTTGAGTGACCTCTGGAGGGATGCAGTAGACTGTTGTAGATGGTTGGTGGGTTGTACAAAGCTGCACAGTGTGGTATCATCTGCAAACCTGCTCAGTTGCACTCAGCCTGGAGTCAAACAGTACTCAATGTTGCAGGTGTACAGGAGGAAAAGGCTGGGTCCTCAGATACTGCCTTGTAGGGCACTAGCCTGGATGGGGTGAGCATCTGAAGTGTGGTCCCCAGCCACCGTGTAGAATGCAGATAGTTCCGTTGGTAAGATAGTCATCATTAGCAATACAAGTAGATTGCCATCGATAACAGCCTGCAATGCCTTACACCGCACTTCTGTGTGCGGTACCCGGTCAAACGCACCGGCAACATCCACAGCGAGGACCTGGACACAGCCGCCAGTACTGATGGTGGGGATCCATTCATGTCGGGGAGCAATGAGGACGTCCGCCGTTCCTCTACCACGGTGGACATCCGAACTGGCTGTTTGGCGGCAGCTCATGGTTCTGCCGGTAGTTGGCCGGATGTTTGCTGACAATCATGCAGTGGCGGATCCAGGGGGGGGCCCAGGGGGCCTGGGCCCCCCCTTTGAAAATTTCGACCTTGGTCTAGGATAACAGTAGACTGTAGTGAGTGTAGAATGAGCGCTCGAAATGACTTGGCGTATCAAGTGGGTCACGCGTGCGGGGTACTTATACGTGTCCGGGGTCACGCACTAGCACTGTACTACATGTAGTCAGCGCGCTGTGTACAACTACTGAGTACTGTACGCACTGCGACCTGAGGACACGGCCGCACTTCAAACATGTGAAAAACGTGCCAAAAATGCAGGGCCTGGTACATAGCGCAGCGATCGCGTTGGGCTGAAGTCCTGTATGGTGCACGGTGCTGTCGACTTCGTCCTTCCTTTTTTCTTTTTCACTTGTCAGAAACTAAACGCTCTCTAGCTCTCTACTTCGCTTGTAGCCAACGGGTTACCTTCAGATATGCGATGAAGAGGAAAGCGTCTGACATCAGGTCATTCTTCAGTGGACCGGTAGATAAGAGAGCTCGCGTTGAAGAGCCATCCAAAGGTCCGTTGCGGCCGCTGTCGAGTGGAAATGTTCCAGTGCAGTTTGAAAATGTCGTGAGAATGGAATAAAACTAGGGACCGCCGGATTCTGCTCGAAAAGGTGGCATATTCTGCTCAAAAAGCAGTGAAATTGGCAGAACCATACAAACCTTATGGCGGGCAATTCCTCGAATTCTGCTCCATTTTTTTTATCCACATACCAAACATGCATGAAACTTACCAGAAAAAGTACCGAATTCTGCCAATTTTTCTGCCGGCAGAATCCGCCGGACCCTAAATACAACAGCTCTTCACAACTTCAGGACTTTGTTGTTGTATTAATTTTGTTGTTTTGCTTTGGGGGGGGGGGGGGGGGCGGCGGATACCTTGGGCCCCCTCTTCGGCCAAGTCCTGGATCCGCCACTGCTACACAGCAATGAGGGAAATGTCTATCACATATTACAACAAGGTGTGAGGGTGAAAACAGGTGGAGCGTTTGAAAGCTAACATTACACTACATGTGTGTGTGGGTGTATAGGGGCTAGGTGAAAAGTGTGCGAGCAGCTTTCTTGCAATTTATTAAGGCTCTTTGTTTTTTCTCTTTGTTTGATGTGTCACAGAAAATGAGTGTTTTAACCCGCCGAACATCACGGACGGTAGCAGAGCCTGGACAGGACACAATCCAGGAGACACGGTGAGTTTTAGCCTAAAAAGTAACGATCACTGCAGGAAGGAATTGAGGTGGAGGGGTTTGATGCCTGGATTGCAGCACAAGCCACGGTCACGCAGGGTCAGAGAAGCCAACTTCTCAATTATGCCCTCCCCCCCCCCCCCCCCACAGGTTCACTATCTTGGTAATAGGTTGTTACCGTTGTACAGACATCAAAGCTGGAAGTAAGTAGTATGATATTGAGACCTCTACAACTCACGCAGATAGGCAAGTAATGCAGTTGACTGCACATATTTGTCGAATAACGTTAGGTGAAATATAAACCGTTTCAGGATGCCAGATTTCCGCAATTTATAGAGAGAACAGGGATACTGAAATGAAGAATGTTAATGCGCTCCTCAGCAGGCACAGAGCAACAGTCGAGTTATGATTCAGACATTTTCTTGTGGCATTCATGAGGAATCAATCACCACAATGGGGTATAGCTAGAACAGAATCAGGCCGTACTATATATTCAAGTAGAGAAAAGAGATGTCTCCCAATTCTAAATTCTGAACTTCACCTCCTCACAATCTCTTGTAACTAGGGGTGAAACGAACGAACGAAAGTTCGAATATTCGTTCGAAAAATTTGAAAACGAACGAACAAAGCAAGATTGATAAACGAACAAGCATAAAGGTCGCTTGTGACTAGATCACGAAGGAGCCGCGGAGGTTGGGAGATTGCGAGCTTGCACGCTGATCGACTGCGTCTGCCTTGATGATCACTTGAAGCAAGTTGAAGGAGTTGAGTGTCGCGTCGGGACAAAATTTCTTGAAATATTTCTGTGTGTCCGTTTGAGGTAGATTTGTACTCGTAGTGAAAGGATTCGAGTCGCTTGTAACATCTGTTCCTGAAAGCAAACGTTCACTCGTTGCAATCATGTCAAAACGTTCCAGCCTTTCATCGCGGTCCGGAGTTGGAGCGGAATTTGATAAAGTGGTCGGGAAAGACGAAGGCCTTTTCTCAATTTCAAAAAGGTTCTATCACACAGCAGAGCGACGACGAGCAATCTTCGTACCCACCTCAAGAAGTACCATTCTCCTGCTCTGACGACCTGAGCTAGCGATGAGAAGAAACTCTCGTCCGGACGATGGTGATGGACTTTGCAGCTAAGCTAGCTGCAAAACCCTGTGATTCAGCGCAGGCGGGCGCGATAAAAAAAATATTGCTGTTCTGGCAGTGTATCATGCGGTCACTGAGCATTCTCACTTTCCCAGTGATTCTGGCCTCTGGTTCTAGAGCTAGCTTACATGTAGATCTACATGCATGATCACAGTGTTTGTTTAGCATCACACCGTCAATACTGAACTGTGGCTAGCCAAGTACAGAGAACGCCTGTACTGACAGACTGCATGGTCCATGAAATACATACTGGTAATGGAGAATGTTCGTTCGAGTTCGTTCGTTGGTGTGAGAGTTCATTCGTATTCAAAATTCGATATTCATTTCACCCCTACTTATAACCCTGCTTCAATGATGTTCAAATGCATGCACAAAACTCATTTGCTCTTTGTAACTGGGCTTGCTGCCCGTTTGATTCTCAGAATTAAAATAACTGAAACAAAGACAAAAACTACAATGGAGAGACGTGAAGCTTTGGTTTGTTTGTGTCTTCCTGTTGTCAGTGTATTTCTTTGTCTCCCTCATTCATCGGATAAACCTCTATGGCTACTCTGTGTCTGTGCATGCAGGCTACGTACGTTTGTGACGCAGATTTTGTGCTGGAAGGTGCAAATCCTCTATCCTGCCGTGACGGCACGTTTGATTGGTCTCCCCAAGCACCGGTTTGCAGGCGTAAGGCATACACCTTGTGACAAGTACATCTTAGAATAATCTGCCTTTCGCTTCAATCTTTTCCTCCTTTTCCAAGTACTTGCAGACTACGTTGCAGCCTGGATAATTTACACATAAGGGTCCCCCGACTTAAACACTCAATGATGGTCTCTTTGCTGCATAAGTCACTTGAAATGTTCACCAAATTTCGGGCCTGGCCCACCATCAGCATAAAACGGACAGCTAATGCTAACAAACAATGAATTGCGTAGATATGTAATGAGGTGCTGTCGTAAAGTGATGAGCAGAGTGCAAAAAATGACGGTACCGGAAATCTGTCAGTTTCTTTCCATCTATCTGTGTGTCTTTCTACCTGTCTGTCTCTCTGTTTGTCTGTTTGGTTATCTCCATCTGCCTGTCTCTGTCTCTCCATGAAATTAAAATTTGATGAACTCAGTACTTGAGGGTGATTGATAAATATACTGCCATGTACTGGTGTTGCTTTTATTGCAGCTCGGACCTGTCCTCCACCGCCTTCAACCCGGAACGGTGTGGTCACAACAACAGGACTGACGATTGGATCTATTGTGAGTAGTGATCATGATTGAATCACTGCATATGTCCAAAGAATCCACAATTACAGAGTTTGGCACAAGATTGTGATCGTACTGACACATGCGGTGCACTTCGTTCAAATGTTTATTGTCTTACTAGACAATGCTGATCTGCTTGTACCGTAAAGTCCGCTGCAAACGCCCACTTCGCAGCAAATGCCCACCCCAGCGGGTCCATACTATTTTCGTCTTTTCAGGTCAATATAGTTGTAGAAAACTGGCATGAAGGTCGAATGCGTACGAGAACGACTGTAACGCCTACAAACTGGCTTTGTCTTACCAGAAGGCTCTGCCAAAGTGTTTGTCATTATCATGCTGCGAAGAAAAAACTTCTCTCAAGATTTCCTTTCATTCGATAAATGAGTCGTCTTTGTTATTAGTTCGTTTTCCATGTGGTAATGCCTTAGAATCAATCTTGTTTTCAAATCTTGAAATTTCTGCAGTGCCACGATGTCGCGCTTTCAGAACGGAATGGTGATTGTTCTGACGAAGAGTCATTCAAAGACTTCACCGGTCGCAGTATTGCAGTTGCAAGTCGAACAGGGGGGATGTCACAGAAGCTACACCTACAAAGTCGCTGCTTACTTGTTGAAAACTCTGAAGTGCTCGAGAAAAACCCTTGCCTTTGCACGTTGCGTGATTTGGAAATGACCGTCAGAAGTGTATTTGGTTCCTGCAATACTCTGTTCTTCGCTACCTTGTTATTCGGAAGAAACTCCCGTTTGGATTTGCGAAATAAAACAACCATCATGATAGAATCACTACGAGCTAACTTGTAGCTAGTGCCAAGAGTACATAATGTACTCTTGCTTGTGCCCAAGGAGATTTTGAAACCTGGAAAGTGGACATAGTTTCTCGTAGCAAAGCGCTCTTTGCGCTACGGTGTGAGATGCACTTTCGTACAGAAGGGGTGACAGTGCATGGGGTCAGTGAGTACAGGCCAGCAGATCTTGCAAAAATGGGGTGGGCATTTGCAGCGGACTCTACGGTATACAAGTAAGTTACATATTTGTACAACTTAGACAAGCAAGGCGGTACAGATGCCAAATAGGGTACAGGGCGCCTTCTAGGTTCACTGTGCCATATGCAGTCCAAGACGCCATGGACGATCCAAACGCATCGTGTGATCCAGCCTGAAACACATTGGAGAATTGCAGATGCTATTCAATCAGTTGTGTTTTCCTGTTTAAGAAGCTATACGCAAAAGACGTGTCACGTCACAAAGTGACATGGTCCGTCTCATCACATGAACACGCATGACCGTATATATGGATGACGGGTCGTACAACCTTACATGCATGTTCAACGTGAATGACTGGATAGCATGGACAGATGCAAAATGTACAAGACTTAGTAGGCAGCACGTGACCAAATGACCAATTGTGAACGTATGCACGGGTGACCAAATGACCACATGTGAACGTATGCACGGATGAGCAGAGGTTGTACATGAGTATGCATGCAAGAAGCACATGAATGATCCCAGTTTAGCACATGAATGATGACAGTTTAGCACATGCAGGTCAACATGCCGGTGTCACGCATCGGCCTGAGTTTTATTTTCTTCCTTATATTATATTCCTGAGACAATGATGCCTGACTTATTATGATTTCTTGCATGATGATTCATAACATGCAACTCTCCACTGGTAAACACTGTAGTATTATTCTTATGTTATCACTGTGGTATTGCTGATGATGGCTCCTGGCCCGAAACATTTGGTTGAGATTACAGAATTTGCAGCAAAGAGACCACTTGCTTTGATGATGATGTGGGTTTTTTCTGTTTCATGAATTGGCTGCAGTGGAGTTTGCGTAACTTTTAAGAAATTTAGTATCATTTCTATATTAACAATGTAGTATTACTACAGTGGCCCCTTTATCACGAGTCCACCACCATCAGTGCTACGGAAATTCTCCTGGATTAGGGAGGGTGCTGGACTACAAAATCTGATTATCTGCTGGAATGTGCATGAAAAGCACATTTTGGTTGCTGAAAATTATGCTGGTTTATAGAGGGACGACTGTACTAGGATGGTACTGCAATGGTTAACCCCTTGAGCGCGGGGCTGTTTGTCAGTGCACCACGTAAGAAAATGGTCTTTTTTGAAAATATTCAAACCTTGGCTATGTCAAGTTGTGAAATCTTTGGGAGCCACAACCACAGGCAGTGGTACACCTGTGAAGTAAAAGAAAAAAAGGCCCAACCCTGCCCTGCCAGCTATTTGGGCTTACGGGGGTCGCCATGGCAAATAATAATAATATTAAAGAACTAAAGACTATAAAATTAAAGACGGGAAGTGCCAGCTTCGGCAGCAACTAGGGAGGCAGAAGAAGAGACAGGTGCATGTACAACGAAAAGTGGTAGGTAGGACCCAGACCAGCACTCGACAACAAGAAGAAAAGCGAAAATCGGCCAAGGCACGCCAGGCCGAGCGGCATACTCAGGTCGATTTTTGAGAAATTGCACCAATTGCGTGGTATGCGCGCGTAAAAAAGAGAAAAAAAGAGCTGTGCTGATCGCTGTACATCGACAGCTGGGAACTGAACCCGGGACCCCTCGTACACAAGGCATAGTCACTACCAATCGGCTGACAGACCTGAAGACTGAAGATACGGGCCATTAGTTTGTATATAAGCGCATGACGTACTAGTACGTCATCCATGGGGCACTGTGTGGGTGTTATGACGTACTAGTACGTCATCCGCGCTCAAGGGGTTAACATTGTGGTCGTATTATTACGTTGGTGCTGCAGGCAACATGGACATGTAGAAACCCTTATGTTTTGGTCGGAGATGAAGATGCTGTATGCCTGCCCGGTGGTGTGTGGTCCAGAGATCCACCAACGTGTGAAGGTAATGTACTGATGTGTATGGTGACTATGTTCTGTCGCCCTTGTCGAACAATGGTTGGAAAAAACTGGCAGATTCTGCACGAAAAGCAGTGAAATTGGCAGAACCATGCAAACCTTATGGCAGGCACTTCCTTGAATTCTGCTCCATTTCTTCACCCACATTCCAAACATTCATGATACACACCAGAAACATACCTTACATCTATTAGACGCGGGTTCTAGCCAGGAAAAATTGTGATGGGGTAACTTACAGTTCTATCTTCTTTTTTTTCTTCATGTTTCACTCACTGCCTTGTCACACTCACTGCCTTGTCACATGACTGAATGCCATGTATGGGCACAGCAAGCACCTGGAAGGATCGATTTGTGGCTGCATTTTCATTGTGTGAACTGATGAGCACAAAAATCGAAAAAAATGAGTAGGGTGGTGCGCTATCACTTATCACTTATTAGAGTAGGGGCGGGGTGTGTGCACCCCCCCCCCCCCCCCCGCCCTCCACCACCGCTTTTGCAAACAACCCTGTTAGATGGCTCGTAAAGGGTTAAAACAAAGTTCCATCCCTTCTTTCTTACTAGTATTGTGTGTTTTATCCAGCACACAGACTACATGCCACCAATAACTATTAAAATCCTACTGACGTAGATGTCACAAACACCCTGGAACAGTGTAGGTACTGTCATTTGAACTCTGATTAGATGCACCCCATGGGCAGTAAGAAAGTGTACTGGGTATACGAGTTACTTCCTATCCTAACATACTTCAGTTTTTGTCACTACACCCGTGCGCCAGACAATGCCCAAGCCAAGCAAGAGTATGCCTTAGCGGTACTAAAAAAGAGAGTAAATTATCGTGTACGTTTCCAAAGGGAACTCACGACGGCCGCTAACACCCGGTAAATCCTAGCTGCAGATGCAACGCCTAACGGTGGGGGTGAGGGGATAAGTCTCACAACCACTGGCACAAGTGCCGAGAAACCCCAATAGCTGCATCCATGTACCCCTTGTGCCTGGCCACAAGTTCCCAGTTGACTGTGGGTAGCAGCGCGGCTGGAAAAACCGCTCCCAGGCAGGACTTGAATCAGGTACCTCTCATATCTCCATCATGGTCTTTGACCAACTCACTGTGCCTGCCTGGCAATCGGTACTAAGTCAGTAAGTGGGTTGTTCCAGTGTAGTTCAGCCTGGTACATGTACATCATAAATAGTGTGTGACCTTCCAGCCAAGGAAGTTCATCAATGTGTGATGTCACTGCGTGTGTGTGTATGTATGTGTGTGTGTGTATGTGTTGTGTGTGTGTGTGTGTTGTGTGTGTGTGTGTGTTGTGTGTGTGTGTGTGTGTTGTGTGTGTTGCGTGTGTGTGTGTTGTTGGCTATCTTATCTTTGATGTCATGTACAGTCCCATGTTACGCACCTCTGCCCAGGAATTTCTACGAGCAATCTCGAGTCGTCACTTCAAGCATCCCAGTACCTCACTGTGGACTGTCTGCAGCTGATATTATTGTTGTCGTCGATGAGTCAGAGAGTATGGTGGAGAGGAAAGATTGGCTTCACCAAGTCATGAGAAATCTTGACGATTCTCTAAAATCACGTGGAATTGGACTGTACCCCGGCATCGCTAACCAATACACACTGGTCGGCTACGGCCAGTTCCATTTCCCTGATGACACACGCCCTATTGCCATGCCACGGGTGATCCTGGACTCAAGTGGAAACCGATTGTATGGAGTGGACGGCTTTGAACAAGCCTGTGCGAAGCTGCAGTCCACCGGGTCCTGGGAGGATGGTTACAATTCCATCAGGTTTGCCCTGGAGGATATTCCGGAGCTGCGTTTGCGCCAAGCTAGAGTTGCCCCAATCGTCATTCTGGTCACTGATGAGGATAGAGATCGTCACAGAGATGCTACTTCTCTGACAAGAAGCGGCATAAAGAAACTCATTCGAAAAAGTGGAGCACAGTTGGAGTGTATTGTGGACAACTCTTTCCTGATGAATGGCCGTGAAGGATATGGCATGGATGCTGGCGGTATGGTTTACAGAAGTGGCCCTGACCCGAACACATATGAGAAGGTTCCTGTGACTGGCAATCCTCGTAGTGTGACTGGCTATCGCCATGCCAACGTTCGCCGGGATTACACTCATGTCGCTTTGGAGCTTGGTGGTGCTGCATGGGACCTGAAACAGCTGCTCCAGGCCAATACCAAAGATGTTGCTTCGGTGCAAGCATTCGTTGACCGGACAGTGGACATGGTGGAGCATCGTGTTCACAAGTGTTGCACATGCCAGTGTGAGCGCATCGGTATAGCATCGTATCTGAGGTGCCAGAATGCTGCAACAGCTGCAGAGTGTACTCAGGGACGCATTCCAAACGTCTTCCGCAGGAATCGGGTTCCATGATCCAGACTGATCATCAGCCACGCTTTCCACCCCTGCATTTTGGGCTTGTCTAGTCACATGCAGCTGTTTTTACACATTCTCAATTTACTTATACTCCTCAAATTACCCCACTGTATCTTGCAGTACTGTGAACCATCATTTTGAAGATTGCTGCACGCATGGCCAAAGCCGCTAATGTCGTATACTCGTTGATTGGCGGTGTTGACGAGAACATGCGGTACTGGAACTGGCCGGTTTGTCCGCCGGTAGAAGTAGCCAAAGCCGACCAGACTGTACTGGTTGGGAATGCCAGGGTAGAGACCAAAGCGAGCGTGTGGAGTCTCTCCTTGCGTGCTGCCTGCATGCTTGCCGACTCATTGCACACAATGATGATGTCGGCAGCTGTTTGCCCACAGTTAGATGACCCAGCTCTGGTTGTCAATGTCTGGTCTTGCCGGAGAAAGTCCGCCGGTAGTGGTGCACCGCACTTCACTGCACATCCAAAACAAGACGGAGAAACACAGTAGCAGACACGGTGAGAACAGAACAGAGCCATGCATTTGACCAGAGCCATGCATCAGAACGAAGGGCATTCGGCCGCAAGGCATGACTGCTACAATGCAGTGTCACGGGGCATAGTGAGCTGTATTGAACTGGACAATCCCCCCCCCCCCCCCCCCCGCCCCTCATTCCCTGTCAGTCCTATTGTGCCAGCGAGGCAAAGAGTGCTTACACACAACACCGCGTACCGGCCAGTGCTAAGCCTTGACTGACCTTCGCATGTCGGTGGCTTGGGTGTAGGCCTGGGCGGATAATTAATGCTAGCATTATAAGTACTAGCAATAGTGTGCGATTTGCAACGGGCATTATTCTAGCATTATAACACTACATTTCCACAAAAGTGGCATTATACTCAAAATTAATGGCCCTTACTTCTGCGAAAACCAGGCTTGGGTGAAAATCATCTTTGTAGAAAAATGATGTTTTGTAAAAAGGTTGTGTCGCGTGGACGCTCGAGTGCATGCGGAACCAAAGACTTTGAAAGAGAACCTCCCTTGTACAGTTTGAAGAAGTAGCAGTCATGGCAGGAAGGGTTTCAGCAGTCAGAGAAGTCAAAGGGCTTCCGGTAGAATATTCCCTGCTACTCCTCTACTCTAGTCACAACGAAGAGTTTTTGAGCTGATCTCCTACACTCAGGGATGGCGAAATTTCTGCGCTAGCTGCTGCTTGCGGAAAATGGTGAAGAAATCGTCTCCAGTTAGAGTCGTGATGGCGATAGCGAGGAGAACCTGGACGACATCGATCCAGCCAATCGAAGTACGGAGATACTAGCAGTTTCTGGGCCTCACACAAAGGGAACACGCGCAGCAGAGCTCATAGTATACATACGTTTGCAGCACTATTGAAGTTCACGAGGAAAAAGGCTTGAAGCGCAGTGTGAAAACTGTTTTGAATTGAAGTCCTTGGCGATGAAGTGCTACTCTGAATGCCAGGCGAATGAGCGAACAGATCGAGAGGCCTCCACTCGAGACTTTCCTCGCTGGACAGCTAGCTGCAAGGGCCCCGCCCGGATTGCAGCATAAAATTAGCAATAATTATGATAGGAAAGGTTTGCTCCCCACACCGGAGCTCGCGCTATTCCGCCGACTTTACTTGACACTTGACTGACTCACGACTGCCATCCAGAGCACACGAGAAGTCCATCGAACCTTCGACTCGGTAAACCTGCAAGAAAGCACCACTCCCTGCTCAATACACAGTGTTTCGGGGAATTCACCCCTCATCAGTTGAGCTTGAGTAGGCTGAGGAAGATTGTGCCTGAAGAGCACCACTTATATAGTGCTCTCCAGGCACAAACATCACCAGGGATACAAACTTACAGAGACGCTCCGCTTCCAGCGCGACAAACACCTCGTGAACACCAGATAGCAGCGTGAGTCAGTGAATTCCCCGAAACACTGTGTATTGAGCAGGGAGTGGTGCTTTCTTGCAGGTTTACCGAGTCGAAGGTTCGATGGACTTCTCGTGTGCTCTGGATGGCAGTCGTGAGTCAGTCAAGTGTCAAGTAAAGTCGGCGGAATAGCGCGAGCTCCGGTGTGGGGAGCAAACCTTTCTTACAAATCATCGCCGAAGTCGCAACCACTACTTCGTACTGTTGTGCCCAGCGCGGGCTTGCGACTAGTTGGTTTGGAGGTGACAGCGTTGCGAATGACCGAGGGTCCTCGACGTCTGTCTCACCGTCCAGGAGCGACACTGACTCACGCTGCTATCTGGTGCCGGTTCACGAGGTGTTTGTCGCGCTGGAAGCGGAGCGTCTCTGTAAGTTTGTATCCCTGGTGATGTTTGTGCCTGGAGAGCACTATATAAGTGGTGCTCTTCAGGCACAATCTTCCTCAGCCTACTCAAGCTCAACTGATGAGGGGTGAATTCCCCGAAACACTGTGTATTGAGCAGGGAGTGGTGCTTTCTTGCAGGTTTACCGAGTCGAAGGTTCGATGGACTTCTCGTGTGCTCTGGATGGCAGTCGTGAGTCAGTCAAGTGTCAAGTAAAGTCGGCGGAATAGCGCGAGCTCCGGTGTGGGGAGCAAACCTTTCTTACAAATCATCGCCGAAGTCGCAACCACTACTTCGTAATAATTATGATCATGATTTTCTAGCATTTTCCATGCAGTCTACGTAGAACTACGAAACGTGCATGCACTGCCGGCCAGGACGTCAGGACTTGTTGTACAAGTACAATCATGTAACAGTACAAGCCATGTAAAGTCACATCATCCATGGACCTGGCTATGGTAGATCTACATGCATGGTATCGCCAGGTCACCAGTGCCAGTGGTCACAGTGTCGGACCGTCAACCAGTCGTAAACGCGTTGCAATGATCGATGGTGCACGGACCAGTGTGAGTGTCACTCAGATCAGGACCTGTATATGTAGCTGTCGACTGTCGTTGTCAAGGATTCATCCAGGCCAGGCCATTTCAGCCGGGTTCGTTTCAAAAAATAAAATCCACCTGTCGTCTGTTACTACTACTACTAGTACTACATGACATTGTACTGTATCAGTCATGTAACACTAGTACTAGTAGACTACCATGACTACCGGTACTAGTAACTGAATCTGTTTGGGAGGGCCATGGACCACGCATGCATGGACCGTCCTTGGTAGATCTACATGGTATGCTTGAACTTGTTTTGTTTGTCTTTACAATACAATCATGCTCTGCGGCTGTGATCTTGACACGGGGATCAGGGAATGCTGATTAGGTTGAAATCGTGTCTTCCATGATGAGACCATGTACCATGACCATAATGACAGTACAGGGTAGCATCAAAACGACCGCGCGTAGGGCATCAGCGCCAAGCTTAGCGTTCTTCAGTCGCTCTCTCGGATGCACTCCAGCTAAGCTCTGCCTCGCCCGGGCCGCGCCTGGGGCTTCCGGAAAGGAATATTTGGCGAAGAAGTCTGATTTGGATCACAGAACGCCCGGAACACTCGAAGGGCAGTATAAATACTTGAAGGTTTTCCGATGCGCAAAGAAGTCACCCATCTTCCTGGAGTCGAAGAGATTTACCTCAGCGGTCGACATACAGAAGTGGACTTTGAAAGCGTCGAAGAAGACAGTGAGTTGCATGTACTGTAGGCTGTGTCTCTTGAACTGACTGTTGACATTGTGCTGTAATAACGTTAGCCTGCTCTTTACGATAAGGACGATACATCAATCTTGAGCGTTGGTAGACGCATGATGTCGTCCATAGTCTAGCATGTCAAGTAGCTCGCTAGGTAGATCTACTAGGAATAATAATTATTAGTACAAGTATACATGTACGTAGACGGGTGTACCGTTAGGTATGCCACGTCCATCTTGTACTGTAGATCTACCGCAGATCATTTCCGGAGAACCGGTAGAGAATGGTGGAGGAACCTGCGTGTTTGGTAGATGGAGATGAATGCAGAGCCGCTGCCCCCAGGTCATTCATAGACCCGGGCATATACCGATCCACCCTCGAAGCCCCAGTGCATTGACAAGGGGTGCATACTCCCTGAATTTCTGGCGAAGTTCCTGCATGCACCATGAAACAAAATACAAAGACTTAAGTGTTTGGCTTAACCCTCAACACTTGTAGCAGTGCAAAACGTATGGCAGAGAAATTCAACACAGTGGGGGGACGCTTTTTTTTTACTTCTTGAGGCACTAAAACAGAACAGCACAGGACAGGACTAATAAGACTGAGTAGAAAGCGGTGAAGAGAGGGAGGGCTTCACGTCAACGGGAACATTGACGTTGCTACTACTCGCCTACACAGTGACTATAGTGCACTGAAACTGCCAGGATTGTCATAGCCAGTCTTCTGTCAAGATGATAATGTTTGGGAGTTTCCATGCCGGAATCCCTGGTGATTCATCGATTTTCCGGGACTTCCCCATGGTAAACCGGGAGGGGTTGACGAGTGCACAGCGAGTTCCAGGTCACTTTGATGGTGTCGAGCGACTCTGCATGCCAGTGACAACCACAGAATGAGTAGTCAATATTTATTGATTCCATGATGCCAAGTCATAAGAATACCAGGCAAAGGAGTTGGGTCACCAGGTAGAGCCAGGTTTTGCTTATCCATGCTTTCAGTTTTTCATGCCTTCATTTATCCATTCTTTCAGTTATCCAGCCTTTCAGAGGTATCCACACTTTCAGTTATCCATACTTTCAGTCATCCATGCTTTCAGTCATCCATACTCCAAGTACCTTCAAATATCTATGCTTTCGGTCATCCATACCTTCAGTTAACCATGCTTTCAATTATCCAAAATTTGAAGCCATAAAAGTGACATGGTCCATGGAAGCAAGGTAAACCCTTCTGTGCTTGCTACACACAACAGAGCAGCGTACGAGTACGATGGCGATTGTCCAACATAAACAATACGAGTACTGGCTCTTTGTAAGTCAGCTGCTGTTGAGATTTTCAGCATGTGCAAGGCAAACTTACGGTGGTGGGCTTTTGGAATGTTTAAGAAAAGTTTTCCTGGAGACAAAACTGCAATCACACTCAAGAAAAGAACACATTTCTTCTGGTTGTGCCACTCAATACACTGCAAATACTGTGTTATCAAAATGATGTCTCAATGATGTCTCAATGATGTCATTCACTCATATCCACTATACAGTGTTGTTGGCTTGTCGTATAGTAGTATGTGCCGATGTATTGCGAGTTATGATACTTGCCTGTGAGTGAGCTACTGAGTCCAGCGATTATCATGCCATGCTGAGAATGATGCTTGTGT